CAGTTAAAACAGAATTCTTAAAAGTCAGGGGCATATTTACTTATCGTCCAGGGCTGAAACCTTAGGAAAATCTTTATTTTCATTCTTTTGGTGGGTGGGTGGGTGTATCACACAAACACACTCTCTTCTTTTGCAAAGTTTGGGAATACCCAGCTTGATAGATCCTGAAAAACACACACAGACACCAATGGGTTTTGGCTGAAACCCAACAAAATGTTTTCATTCTTTTGGAGGGTGTGCGTGTATGCGTATCGCACACAAAACACACTCGCCCCTTTGGCAAAGTTTGGGAATACCCAGCTTGACACGTACATACACAAATGGTTTTTGCACCAGTGGCTTGCTCCCGGAGCCTCTCTTGGAATACAATAGAGCTGGAAGGGACCTTGGAGGTCTTCTAGTCCAGCCCTCTGCTCAAGCAGGAGAACGTATACTATCTCAGACTGTCTAGCCTCTTCTTAAAAATCTCCAGTGATGGAGCGCCCACGATTTCTGGAGGCAAGCTGTTCCTCTGTGCGTGTGCGTGTGTGTATACACACCACCCAGATGTTTTTGCTTGTTCCCTTTGCGATGCAAATTCCTTCGGCCCTCCCACTTTCGTCAGCCATTCTCGGCTGGGGATTTGTCCCAATTAAAGCTTCTCTGACTCAACCTTGCTCTGGGTTCTTTGCTGATCAAATTTATTCTCTGTTTTTTAGCAAGGCTAAGCAGAATCTTCCCTTCATGGGAATCCGGGACATTTTCCCATAAGAGATGCAGACAGACAGAATAATGGGAGTCAGAAGGGACCTAGTCCACGGGTCCCCAACCTGTGGGCCGTGACACTCACCCCCACTCATGCTAGCACTGCCACTATCCACACGGAGTGCCGCACAGTGAAAATGGGGCAACGTGGGGCAAAAACGGGGCACCACACAACAAAAGCGTGGCACCCCGTGGCAAAACAGGGTGCCACACAGCAAAAATGGGGCGGCACTAGCACCTGCGTGGCAAAAATGGGGCGGTGCTAGTGTCATACGGGCGCTAGCACCGCTTCATTAAGCGTCGCATGTGCTCGCGGCCCAGTTTGTGTGTGCAGTTGCATAAAATGCTTCCCAACTGAGAAAGGTTGGATACCTCTGTTCCAGTCCAACGTGACCTTGATTCTATGCCTCTGTTTATACAACCCAGGATTGTAGCAGCAACCAAAAAACCTAATACAATCCTGGGTTGTATGAACAGAGGCATAGAATCAAGATCACGCAAAGCACTAGTACCGCTTTATAAAGCCCTAGTGAGGCCACACCTGGAATACTGCAGCCAATTTTGGTCACCATATCACAAAAAAGATGTTGAGACTTAGAAAAAGTTCAGAGAAGAACAACTAAGATGATCCAAGGCCTGGAGACTAAAACATACGAAGAACGGCTGCAGGATTTGGGTATGGCCAGTCTAGAGAAAAGAAATAGGGGTGACATGACAGCAGTATTCCAGTATCTGAGGGGCTGCCACAAGGAAGAGGGGGGTCAGGTTGTTCACCAAAGCACCAGAGGGAAGGGCGAGAAACAATGGTTGGAAACTGATCAAAGAGAGAAGCAACCTGGAATAAAGGAGAAACTTCCTGACAGTGAGGACAATCAACCAGTGGAACAGCTTGCCACCAGAAATCGTGGGTGCTCCATCACTGGAGATTTTTAAGAAGAGGCTAGACAGTCACCTGTCTGAGGCGGTATAGGTTCTCCTGCTTGATCAGGGGGCTGGACTAGAAGACTTCCAAAGTCCCTTCCAGTTCTATTCTATTCTGTTCTGTTCTATTCTGTTCTAACCCCCTGTACCATCCATCCAAAGGTCTGTCCATGACTGAATGCAACTCATCCGTACAACAAGGTGGTTATGTCTATAATGGGAACTCGTGATACCATCACTGATCATCTCCAAAATAATTAATGCAGGCAGAAGACACATCCTTCTTCCCTAAAGGGGAGTCCTAGCAATATGCTCGATTAGCGGCAGTTCTCCACGTACGACCATTTGTTTAACGACCATTTGAAGTTACGATGGCACTGGAAAAACTGCCATTTGGAGATGTGTGGACATCTGAACTGTAATGCCCCAGTGCCACCACTAGATGACAGCACGATACACCCACTGTTTGGTGCCCTCTGGCGGTTATCTAGCTTTATTTTATAGACTAGATTTTACAGGGGTACAAATGTCATGAGAACTATGCAAGGTGTCCCGAACATCAACCGTGGAAGCACTCCCAATTTTACTTTTTTGACACCCGCTCCTTCCTGTACATGGTCCAGACATCCTAGGTGGAGTAAACAGCAGAAGGAAAGATGATGGGCCCTCTTTGATTGACACGTGTGAATCAACTCAAAGCAAAAATTGAAAGGATAAGTGTGGGCCTGGGTGACATTTCTAGGCAGTTATCTTGGCTGGACTAAAATCTAGAACAGGTTAGGATCTCTTCGAGAACCCAGATAAGAGACTACCAGCCTACTTCACCTCACCTCCATTTTTTTTTTGCATGTTCAGCCCGTTCTTCCTTTTTTAACTTTCAGACCCTTATTCATGTCAACTGATTCATGGTGGGGTTTTTGGACTGGATTCCCCCATTGCAGAAAGAACGCTTCTTTACGGGGCTCTGTGTAGGTGGGTGGGTGGAGCCCACCTGGAGAACATTCTGGAAAGCTGCCCTTATGAGCTGGAACCATTGCTGGAAAGAAATTCTGGTAGGGAAACATTGCATAGAGGTGTTTTATGCCCTTCTCACTCAAACTGGGATTCCTTGATGGGGATCTGAGCAGAAGTCCCCATCCATCTGCTTGAGGACAGGAGACCACTAGGCGATCCCAGGGCATTACCCTAAATCAGCGGTTCTCAACCTATGGGTCGCGACCCCATTTGGGGTCGATCGACCATTTCACGGGGGTCGCCAAGCAAGGCTGTCTGCCATTTTTTTCCCCTTTTCCGGCGGGTGCCTTACCTCCCTTGAACTGGGCCAGCTGGTGGTCAGCCTGCTCCATCTCTGCCGCTTGCCAGCTACACCTCGGCCAGTGCAGGGGGCAGAACCACGCATGCTCGGCGCTCCCGGGCAGGGAAAGTCCTCGACTTACGACCGGTTGGGTAGTCCTCAACTTACAACCGGTTGGGGGTCGCGGCATTAAAAAGGTTGAGAACCACTGCCCTAAATGAACTTGAAAGGAAAAGCAATGGAGAACTATCTTTATGGCCAAATAGCCTCACAGGAACAAAACTAGGATTCATTTAGCCAAAGGTTAGGCTGCATCACCGGGATGGCCCAGAGCCACCCATGAAGCTTATGCCTAAGACAGGACTAGAACTCAGAATCTCCTGGTGATTGGCCCCAAGTCACTCATCAGGCTTTCATGCCTAAAGTGGGACTAGAGTTCAATGCCTCCTTGTCCCTAAACCAGCATCTTAATCTAGACCAGGGGTAGGCAACCTTGGCTTTTATGACTCGTGGACTTCAACTCCCAGAATTCCTGAGCCAGCCATGCTGAGGGGAAAAGGAGGTTTCCAAACTGAGCCATGCTGACTCAGGAATTCTGGGAGTTGAAGTCCACGAGTCACAAAGGGGCCATAGTTCCCCCATGCTGGCTGAGGAATTCTGGGAGTTGAAGTCCACCGGCCAAGGTTGCCTATCCCTGTACTAGACCAAACTGGCTCTAACTAGCATTTTGCAAAGCAGAAAAATATTTAGAGAGGGAGAGAAAGGATGAGGTGGGGAGAATGTAATAGTGTAGAGTCCCTAACTTAAAACCAGTAACCGTTTTGATGTTACGACGTTGAAAAATTGACTTATGACCATTTTTCATACTGAGGACCATTGCAGAATCTGATCAAAATTCAAATGCTTGGCAACTGCCTCATATTAATGATGGTCACAGCGTCTTGGGGTCCTGTGATCCCTTTTGTGACCTTCTGACAAGCAAAGTCAATGGGGAAAATCAGATCCGCTTAAGAACCGTGTTCCTAGCTTAACTGCAGCAATCCACTTAACAACTGTGACAGGAAAGGTCCTAAAATGTTGCAAAACTCACAAGTGTCACGTTAGCAACAGAAATTCGGGGCCCAATTGCGGACTTTTATGTACAAAAACTATTTGCTAAAGCCTCAATAAGCTGAGGTAATTTTACTGGGGTGGGGTGGGGGAGGGGGAAAGAAGAGGGTGAAAAAAAAACTACACAGCCTTTGTGCAACCAGCTTCGTTAAAACAACTCAGCAAAATAAAATTCCGGTTTATTGTTGGACAATATTGTTTTCACACATACATCAAACAGGCCAAAAAGAAAAACAAAAAAATTAACAGCAACTTCTTAGACAAAAAGGAAAAAAAACCAAAAAAACAAAAAAACAAAACCCTTTTAATCTTTGGCCTTGCCATCTCATACAAACCCACTACTTTTATGGTACAAGGTAAAAGTACATACACACACACAAAAAAAAGTGTTGTTGGAATGCTCATCATAAAACGTTGGATTATTTTTTTTTGCATCATTTCTTTTTTTTACAAGGTCTTTTTTTTAAGTTTTCTTCTCCTTTCGAGACAATGGTTTTTTAGTTTGTTTTTTTGGACACGGTCACACCACAAGTAAAGTCAGGAATTTTTTTTGTTTCGTTTTTTTTTTTGTTTCGTTTATAAGGAACAAAAGAAGGAAAAAAAACGCACTTCAAAAGCCCCCCTCCCCCGCCCTTTTGGTCAATCGGAGATCGCGTTAAAAATGGCTGACCTCATCACAATATGTACAAAAATATAAAATGTAAATAAAAAATACAAACAAATTCTCCTTTTAAAGTTACTTTTAAGAAAGCAAACTGGGCCTTGAAGTTTTCAGTGGGGAGGGGAGGGACAGAGACTCCCCCAGCCACAATGGGGGAAGGGAGATTTTGGGGGGTGGGGAAGGGGTTCAAGTCGGAACAAAATGGCGGTTCTACGCCGTACGGCTTTTACGGGGTTCGTTTGCTCTACTTTATGATGGTGACCATTAGCAACAAGGGGACGTATTTATTTTATTTTTTTTTCTGTAACAGGAAGTTTTCAAAGGTAAAAGTAGGTCACGCTGGCCTTTTTTTAAAAAAATTTTTTCCTCTTTTTTTAAGTTTAAAAAAAAAAAGCTGTTTCTTTATTATTCTAACTCTCTAATCGTCTTCGTCGGTTTTCTGCTTCTTCGGATCGACATCGTCGTCCTGCAAGGACAAAAAGGGCCACAGGAATCAAGATTAGGGAGGGGATTTTCACCAGTATAAAATATCCCGTTCCGAGATCGAGATCTTTTTTCTGCTCCTGGAATCGGTTTTTGCGGCCAGGTCCATCCCTCCCGACAGTACCGAAACTGGGGGTTGAACCCCAGGTACTTGGTGCTCTCTCATCTTGGTTTTCTTGCAGACGTTTCATGACCCAACTAGCTTACATCATCAGTGCTAGAAGGGAGGAGGACTGTGGGATCTTTAGTGCTGTCTGAATTTGGTGGTTTTCTTGCAGACGTTTCACAACCCGACTAGGTAACTTCATCAGTGTTAGAAGAGAGTGGGGGGATTGCTCTCAGTTTATGTACAAGAGCTTGTGTTGTTATTGTGTTATTATGGTGATTCCTTTGTTAGCCTGCTGGTTTGCTACTGATTGTTGGTCTAACATTAATCTTGGGGTCAGTCTCCAACTCCCTCCTAACACTGTGATGTTCTCTAGTTGGGTCATGAAACGTCTGCAATAAAAATCACCCAACTCAGATAGCATCAAAGACACCCCCCCCAGTCCTCCTAACACTGATGATGTTACCTAGTTGGGTCATGAAATGTCTGCAAGAAAACCACCCAGCTCAGAGAGCACTAAACACCCCACAGTCCTCCTAGCACTGATGATGTTACCTAGTTGGGTCATGAAATGTCTGCAAGAAAACCACCCAGCTCAGAGAGCACTAAACACCCCACAGTCCTTCTCCTCCTCCCTTCTAGCCCTGATGATGTTACCTAGTTGGGTCATGAAATGTCTGCAAGAAAACCACCAAGCTCAGAGAGCACTAAACACCCCAGTCCTCCTCCTAGCACTGATGATGTTACCTACTTGAGTAACAAAACATCTTCAAGAACCCCACCAAGCTCAGAGAGCCACAAGGATGCCCCAGGTCCACCTTCCTATATCTTTCAGCAACGTAACAGCAGGAGCCCCTCACCACCTTCCTGATCCAACAGAACTCTTCAGGGACGTACCAAGCGGTGCAGGAAAAGCACGTTTATCCTTTCACACGCCCAACTGCCTTCCCATCCCATTTTCTTCTGTTATTTTTTGTGGGGGCTTATCACATAAAAGCCTCCCTTGTGAGGGATCAAGGCAGTTTCTAAATTTGGTAAATAAATAAAAAATAAATAAATAAAAAAACCTTTAGGCCTTTTTCCTAATGTCATTTTTTTTTTAAATCTGGGTCAGACTACATCCCCCATTTTCCTCAGCCACAACCCTGAGGTCCCTGCCTAGAATCCTCTGCGCTAAGAGTTATAGCTTGGATTATCTGTCGATTGCCTTTGCTCTGAAGATCCCTGGGAATGTCGGTTTATGAAAGTGCTTTTTTCAAGGGGCACCTGGACTTTCTGGTTTTTCTTTGAAGACGTTTCGCTTCTCATCCCAGAAGCTTCTTCAGGTCTGGCTGGAGCGTGGAGAATGGAAGGATTTATACTCCTTGCAGACAGCTGGTCATTTGCCTTCTTTTAGAGAGGAGTTGAGGCCACTTGGAGGTTTACCTGGCGCTTCAGGGTCACCTGAGTGGGGCAAATGGATGTGGAGCCTTCTTGGATCTGCAGAAAGGACCCCATTGTAGACAGTCCTTTCAGCCGTTCCAAGAAGGCTCCACGCCCATTTGCACCACTCAGGTGACCCCGAGGACACAGATAAATCTCCAGGTAGCCTCAACTCCTCTCTAAAAGAAGGCAAATGACCAGCGGTCTGCAAGGAGTATAAATCCATCCTCCACCATCCAGTCAGAACTGAATCAGCTTTCTAGATGAGAAGCAAAACGTCTTCAAGGAGAAAAAAAACAAGGAAGTCCAGTTGCCTCCTGGAAAAGCACTTTTGGGATAATTATGACCTCAGATCTCGGATCTCCATAGATATTAAACATTATGAATGGTAGAGATGGGGCCAAAACTGCTCCCCTCCTGGCCTTCTCTCCAAGGGTCCCTCACCTCATCGTCTTCAGCTGCCCGTTTGCCGGTCAGACCTTCAGCTTCATCGTCTTCGTCGCCATCTTCCTCTTCGCCTAGAAAAGGAAGAAGGACAGCTTGAGAAACGAGCTCCTGGCCCAAGGTTTCTTTACATCAGGGGTCTTCAAACGTGGCCCTTTGATGACTTGTGGACCAACTCCCACAATTCATGCCTGGCTGAGGAATTCTGGGAGTTGAAGTCCACAAGTCATCAAAGGGCCAGGTTTGAACACCCATCTTAAATCTAACAAACAAAATGGAGGCTGGCTGAGGAATTCTGGGAGTTGAAGTCCACCAGTCATCAAAGGGCCAGGTTTGAAGACCCGTCTTAAATATAACAAACAAAATGGAGGCTGGCTGAGGAATTCTGGGAGTTGAAGTCCACAAGTCATCAAAGGGCCATGTTTGAAGACCCCTGTCTTAAATCTAAAAAACAAAATGGAGGCTGGCTGAGGAATTCTGGGAGTAAAAGTCCACCAGTCATAAAAGGGCCAAGTCTGAAGACCCCTGTCTTAAATCTAACAAACAAAATGCAGGCTGGCTGAGGAATTCTGGGAGTTGAAGTCCACAAGTCATTAAAGGGCCAAGTTTGAAGACCCCTGTCTTAAATGTAACAAACAAAATGGAGGCTGGCTGAGGAATTCTGGGAGTTGAAGTCCACAAGTCATAAAAGGGCCAAGTTTGAAGACCCCTGTCTTAAATCTAACAAACAAAATGGAGGCTGGCTGAGGAATTCTGGGAGTTGAAGTCCACAAGTCATTAAAGGGCCAAGTTTGAAGACCCCTGTCTTAAATGTAACAAACAAAATGGAGGCTGGCTGAGGAATTCTGGGAGTTGAAGTCCACAAGTCATTAAAGGGCCAAGTTTGAAGACCCCTGTCTTAAATGTAACAAACAAAATGGAGGCTGGCTGAGGAATTCTGGGAGTTGAAGTCCACAAGTCATTAAAGGGCCAAGTTTGAAGACCCCTGTTTTACATCCTTCCAGGCTGATCCCCAAGACAGTGCCTTCAAAGCGGTCAGGGGTCCGCCAGAAGAGACGGGCTGAATTTATCTAAACCAGCATCCCGTTTCCTGTCCGTCGGCCAAACCAGATGCCGACAGGAAGTTGCAAAACATGAGGACGGAAGGGAGTCCTTCCTGAAATGAGTTGCTTCTAGGGAAATGTAGAAACCAAGCAGGCTTTCAGATCTGCCAGCTGTGTGTGTTTGTTATGTGTGTGCCAGACCAACACAGCCAACCTTCCCCAGTTCTCTTCCTTTTCCAATACAGGTAGATATTTCTGTCACTAAGCAAGATAGTTGCAAAGTGGATTTTTCCCCCTTTTGCGACGATTCTTGCAGTTGTTAAGTTTGTGACAGTCTTGTTAAAAAGTTGATTCGGCTTGTTGGAAGGTCGCAAAAGGGAATCTACGTGACACCCCCCCTCCCGCCCAGGACACTGCAACCGTCGTAAATACGAGTCAGTTGCCAAGCGGCTGAGTTTTGACGACATGACCACGGAGATGCTGCCACGGTCGTTAAAGTGTGAAAAAAATTGTTGTCACTTCGAATGGTCATTAAACAAACCGTCGTAAATCAAGGACCATTAAACCAAAAACCAAAAAAACCACCCCTGCGAAATAGGTTGTGCAGCAATAGGAAGCGTTGTGCTGAACACTCACCCATTAATTTCTACCACGCATGCAATTGTTAATGAATGTTAATTTTAATCTGAAATCCTGGCAAAGAGGACGTGGCTAAGAGTTAAGCTACCGAAGTGTTGGAAAAGCTTCCGGTTTCTTCCAAGAACCCTGGGGAGAAGAGAGACTTTGTGGGAAAAGCCAACGGCTGGGATGGAGGCCTTCCAACCGAGGCCACACAAGGCCCAGGGCAGCCAAGCGGGGGCTGCCTTGCCCAGCCGAAAGCCCATTACTTCCGCCTCTCTTCTCCACCATAAGCCTCTCCTTAATGAGAAGGGAGGGAGAGCCAGAACTCCCGCCAGTTTGGGCACACGGTTTCCAATTATCCCGCTTCTGGATTCTCCCCGTTTCCTTTCAAACTCTGAGAAGGGGAGAGAGAGAAAACAGGAGAGAGAGAGGAAGGGCAGAGGAGAGAGGCGAGGGGCAAGAGAGGAGAAAGAGAGGAAAGAAAGAAGAGAAAAAGACAAGAGAGGGGAAAGGAGGGAGACCGAAGAGAAAGGGGAGAAAGAGAGGAGGGAAAGAAGAGGAAGGAGAGGGGAGACAGAAAGGAAGGAGAGGAGAGGAAAAGAAAGGGTAGAGGAGAGAAATGAAAGGAAGAGAGAAAAGGAGGAGAGAGGGAAGCAGAGAAAGGAGAGAAGAGGAGAGAGAAGGAAGAGAAGAAGAGGGGAGAGAAAGGAGGAAGAGAAGGGGAAAGAGAAGAAAAAGAAGAGGCATTGAACACAACTTGATTCAGGAAAGGATGGAAACAAAGCCACAGCATCCAGAGACCACCCAATCTGACTGGAGAGGGAGATCTTCCCTCACCCCGAGTTTCCCAGCCAGAGCTGGGGGGTGGTTGCTTTAAGGCTCTTGGATTAAATAAATGGGCTCGCCTGACCCTTCCCAGAGAGGCCACTAAGCTGGCTTAAGTGCCACTGGGATCTGCGAGAGATTAGGGTCACCTGAGAATAACTTTTTCACACACACCCCACCTGCAAGATCAGCTTCTCCAATTTCGTGGCACACAAAGCCAATTGAGAGAGGAGAGGAGAAAGAGAGAGAAGGGAAGAGAGAGAGAGAGAAGAGAGGGAGGAGAAAGAGGGAGAGAAGAGAAGAGAGAAGAAAGAAGAGAAGAGAGGGAGAGAAGAGAGAGAAGAGAGAAGAAAGAGAAGAGAGGGAGAGGAAAGAGAGAAAAGAGGGAGAAAGAGAGAGAGAGAAGAGAGGAGAGAAGAAAGAGAGAAGAAAGAGAAGAGAGGGAGAGAAAAGAGGGAGAAAAAGAGAGGGAGAGGAGAGGGAGGAGAGGAGAGAAGGGGGGGGAGGCTGGCAGTACAAGGCACCCCCCCATGGCTTCTGGGCTCCGTTCCCCCCCACCCACTTCCTCCTCCATCAGCAGGCAGGGTGTATCCAGGCAACTGTCCCCACCCGGCAACGGAAACTGGAAAACAACAGCCGGGATGCCAGTGGACTTATTGGGGGGGGGGGGGGGGGAAGCCCCCAAGGGGGGCCTGCCGCTTTCTAATTCCTGGCAGAGTCGCCTCCTTGACGGGCGGGCGGCAGGTTTGGCTCAGCGGGTCTGGCAGCTGGCATTTTATGGGCGCCTTCCAGCTGGCAGGGGAGTCAGGGCGGGGCAGCCAAGCCCAGGGAGAGAGCGCCCGTCCAGGGCAACTGCGGGTCATTCGAAGNCAGCAAGCGGGTCTGGCCTAGGGTGAATTTTAAATAGGGACAATTTTAATGATTTTAATAAGACACAGCGACAAATATTTGTTTTTAATTGGTTTTTATTGGGGATAATGTTTTATACTGTTTTAATATGCTGTGAGCCGCCCTGAGTCCTGTGGGGAGAAGGGCGGCATATAAGTCCAATAAATGAAATGAAATGAAAGGGCCAGGTTTGAAGACCCGTCTTAAATCTAACAAACAAAATGGAGGCTGGCTGAGGAATTCTGGGAGTTGAAGTCCACAAGTCATTAAAGGGCCAAGTTTGAAGACCCGTCTTAAATCTAAAAAACAAAATGGAGGCTGGCTGAGGAATTCTGGGAGTTGAAGTCCACAAGTCATTAAAGGGCCAAGTTTGAAGACCCCTGCTTTACATCCTTCCAGGCTGATCCCCAAGACAGTGCCTTCAAAGCGGTCAAGAGTCCGCCAGAAGAGACGGGTTGAATTTATCTAAACTAGCATCCCGTTTCCTGTCCGTCGGCCAAACCAGATGCTGACAGGAAGTTGCAAAACATGAGGACAGAAGGGAGTCCTTCCTGAAAAGAGTTGCTTCTAGGGAAATGTAGAAACCAAGCAGGCTTTCAGATCTGCCAGCTGTGTGTGTTTATGTGTGTGCCAGACCAACACAGCCAACCTTCCCCACTTATCTTCCTTTTCCAATACAGGTAGACATTTCTGTCACTAAGCAAGATAGTTGCAAGGTGGATTTTTCCCCCTTTTACAACGATTCTTGCAGTTGTTAAGTTTGTGACACTCTTGTTAAAAAGTTGATTCGGCTTGTTGGAAGGTCGCAAAAGGGGATCTACGTGACACCCCCCCTCCCGCCCAGGACACTGCAACCGTCGTAAATACGAGTCAGTTGCCAAGCGGCTGAGTTTTGACGACGTGACCACGGAGATGCTGCCACGGTCGTTAAAGTGTGAAAAAAATTGTTGTCACTTCAAATGGTCATTAAACAAACCGTCGTAAATCGAGGACCATTAAACCAAAAACCAAAAAACCCACCCCTGCGAAATAGGTTGTGCGGCAATAGGAAGCGTTTTGCTGAACACTCACCCATTAATTTCTACCACGCATGCAATTGTTAATGAATGTTAATTTTAATCTGAAATCCTGGCAAAGAGGACGTGGCTAAGAGTTAAGCTACCGAAGTGTTGGAAAAGCTTCCGGTTCCTACCAAGAACCCTGGGGAGGAGAAAGACTTTGTGGGAAAGGCCGGCGGCTGGGATGGAGGCCTTCCAACCGAGGCCACACAAGGCCCCGGGGCAGCCAAGCGGGGGCTGCCTTGCCCAGCCGAAAGCCCATTACTTCCGCCTCTCTTCTCCACCATAAGCCTCTCCTTAATGAGAAGGGAGGGAGAGCCAGTTTGGGCACAAGGTTTCCAATTATCCCGCTTCTGGATTCTCCCCGTTTCCTCTCAAACTCTGAGAAGGGGAGAGAGAGAAAATAGGAGAGAGAAAGAGAGGAAGGGCAGAGGAGAGAGAAGAGGGGCGAGAGAGGAGAAAGAGAGGAAAGAAAGAAGAGAAAAAGACAAGAGAGGGGAAAGGAGGGAGACCGAAGAGAAAGGGGAGAAAGAGAGGAGGGGAAGAAGAGAAAGAGGAAGGAAGGAGAGGGGAGACAGAAAGGAAGGAGAAGATGGTAGAGAGGAGAGAAATGAGAGAAAGGAAAAGAGAAGAGAGGGAGAGAAAGGAAAGGAGGAAAAGAAGGGGAAAGAGAAGAAAAAGAAGAGGCATTGAACACAACTTGATTCAGGAAAGGATGGAAACAAAGCCACAGCATCCAGAGACCACCCAATCTGACTGGAGAGGGAGATCTTCCTTCACCCCCAGAGTTTTCCAGCCAGAGCTGGGGGGTGGTTGCTTTAAGGCTCTTGGATTTAAATAAATGGGCTTGCCTGACCCTTTCCCAGAGAGGCCAATAAGCTGGCTTAAGTGCCACTGGGATCTGCGAGAGAGATTAGGGTCACCTGAGAATAACTTTTTCACACACACCCCACCTGCAAGATCAGCTTCTCCAATTTCGTGGCACGCAAAGCCAATTGAGGAGAGGAGAAAGAGACAGAAGGGGGGAGAGAGAGAAGAGAGGGAGAGAGGAGAAAGAGGGAGAGAAGAAAGAGAGAAGAGAGAAGAAGAGAGGGATAAGAGAGAGAAGAGAGAAGAGGAGAGAGAGAAGAAAGAAGGGAGGGAAGAGAGGAGGGAGAGAAGAGAGAGGAGAGGGAGAGAGGAGAAAGGAGAAAGAGAGAAGAAAGAGAGAAGAGAGAAGAGAGAAGAAGAGAGGGAGAAGAGAGAAGAGGAGAGAGAGAAGAGAGGGAGAGGAGAGGGAAAAGAAAGAAGAGAGGGAAGAGAGGAGAGGGAGAGAAGAGAGAGAAGAGAGAGGGAGAAGAAAGAGAGGGAAGAGAGGAGAGGGAGAGAAGAGAGAGGGAGGAGAGAGAGGGAGGAGAGAAGAGAGAGAGAGGAGGGAGGGAAGGCAGGACGGGGGAGGCTGGCAGTGCAAGGCACCCCCCCATGGTTTCTGGGCTCCGTTCCCCCCCACACACCCTTCCTCCTCCATCAGCAGGCAGGGTGTATCCAGGCAACTGTCCCCACCCGGCAACGGATACTGGAAAACAACAGCCGGGATGCCAGTGGACTTATTGGGGGGGGGGAGAAGCCCTCAATGGGAGCCTGCCGCTTTCTAATTCCTGGCAGAGTCGCCTCCTTGACGGGCGGGCGGCAGGTTTGGCTCAGCGGGTCTGGCAGCTGGCATTTTATGGGCGCCTTCCAGCTGGCAGGGGAGTCAGGGCGGGGCAGCCAAGCCCAGGGAGAGAGCGCCCGTCCAGGGCAACTGCGGGTCATTCGAAGCGCCAAAAGCGTTGGCAGCTTTGCCCAGTCTGTGGCATCGATCGACGAACGAGTCCCTGCACAACGCAGGGCGTCCTCGGCTTACGACGGTTCGCTTAGCGGCCGTTCGAAATTGCAAACGTGGCCCTTTATTTAATGACTGGTGGACTTCAAACTCCCAAAATTCCCAAGATGCCGTTTTGATAAAACTGCAGGCTTGGATCCAGACCAGGCGTCTTCAAACTTGGTTTTTTATGACTTGTGGACTTCAACTCCCAGAATTCCTCAGCCAGGCCGTTGCAGCCATCTCCGTAGTCGGTGTTTTGTGTGTGTGTGTGTGTGTGTAACTTTGGATGCTTGGCCACGGGATCCCCTTTGGCGACCTTCCAGCAAGCAAAAGTCCACGGGGGAGCCGGGTTCACTTAACAACCCGTTTACTAACTTAAGAACTGCAGTGGTTCACTTAACAACTTTTGTGGTTAACTGGGGGGCGAAATTCGCTTAACGAATGTTTCGCTTTGCAACAGCAAACGGCGGGAAAGCCCGACAATTAGGGCTAACCCCAAAAGCAGGTGTTTTCCCCCCAAGATGCACCAGCCCAGGAATATCAAATTACAGAGGCTGCACCTTGTGCCGTGCAAGAACGGACCTGCATTTATCTTCCGGGCAAAAAAATTCTGCCCAGCTAGCAATTACAGGGAATCCCTGCTTAGTGACCGTTCAAAGTTACAACGGCCCTAAAAAAAATGACTTATGACCGGTTTTTTCACGCTTATGATTATTGCAGCGTCCCTGTTGTCAAAACTCGGACGCTGGACGAACTGGCTCGTATTTACGACGGTCGCAGCGTCCCCGGGGTGTGTCACGTGATCCCCTTTGGCGACTTTCTGACGAGCAAAGTCAATGGGGGGGAAGCTGGATTCGCTTAACGACCGTGTTAATAACTGAACGACTGCAGGGGCGGCGAGGAAAGTCGTAAGACGGGGCAAAGCTCCCTTAGTGACAGACGTTTTGAGCTGAATTGTGGTCGTTAAGTCGTTAAGGACTGCTTGGAATAGCCTCTTCACCCAGCCTTCCCCAAGGAAGAGCTCTCCGGGCGTTGGGGCCCATTTGCAAAAGCCCATCCGGTACAGCTGGGCAACTAGTCTCTTTTTCAGACTATACTGAGATTTGTTCCTTCTATTTAACAGCAATTGCCTTCTTTCGCTCCTGAACGGCTACTTGGTTGAAATGGGGGCATTTCCCATTTTGCCTTTTGTTGATCTTAACTGCACAGACTTTTATTTGCACTGTATTTTTAACGGGTTTTATGGAAAACTGCCCAGACAAGTTTGGGTTTTTTTTATTTTTTATTTATTTATTTTTAAATCTAATAAATATTCCACAAGTTCAACTCCAACAGAAGCTCCAGAATGCGTTCTTCCTCAGTCCCGGAAGTCAAACAGTTTGGAAAAGAAAGAAGGAAAGAAGGAAGGAAGGAAGGAAGAAAGAGAAAAAAAAAGAAAAAAGAAAAAAGGAAGGAAAGGAAGAAAGAAAGAAAGAGAAAAAAAAAGAAAAAAGGAAAGGAAGGAAAGAAAGAAAGAAAGAAGCAGTTTGGCCTAGTGGTTAAGTCACCAAGCTAGAAAATGGGAGATGGCGAGTTTTAGTCCCATCCTAGCAGGAAAGCCAGCTGGGTGACTTTGGGCTAATCGCCAGGAGACGGTGAGTTCTAGTCCTGACTTAGCCATGAAAGCCAGTTGGGTGACTTTGGGCCAATTAGCAGGAGAAGATGAGTTCTAGTCCCGCCTTAGGCCTGAAAGCTGGCTGGGTGACTTTGGACCAATCAGCAGAAAAGATGAGTTCTAGTCCCGCCTTAGGCATGAAAACCAGCTGGACGGCTTTGGGTCAATCACTGGGAGATGGTGAGTTCAAATTCTGCCTTAGGCAGGAAGCTGGCTGGATGACATTGGGCCAGTCTCTCTCTCTCTCTCTCAGCCCAGCCCAGCCCACCTCACCGGGTTGTTGTGAGGGGAAAAAAAAGGGAGGAAGGAGTATTAGGAACGTTAAGATGGGATAAATATACATCGGTAAAATAATAAATATATTTTTCTGCACATTTTTGGTTGGAACGCAACCCGTCTGGTTTGAAAGAATAGAATATAATAACTTGATTGTCACTTCTTAGGTACATTAATTGGCATACGTTAAAATGAAACTTCGCCGCAATGTATGCCAATTAATGTACCTTTCAAAGTGACAATAAAGTTATTATTCTGTTCATCCCAGTCCTTTAGAAGGCGGCACCATTTAAGTGAACGGTTGCTTTTAATTCCTGCCCCCCCCTCCAAAAGGTCACACCTGGAGACTTCTGTGAATTCCAGATCCTGGCACCCGTTTTTGCGAATGCACACAATCCTATTTAGTTGTTTTCCCCCTGCTGAGATCACCCACAGGGGTAAAGACGAACTTTTGACTCGTTCATCGTGCCCTACGCAAAAGGGCCACCAGGGGGAGCCAGCCCCCTCCACGCTTCCAATCCTAGCAAGGCTCATCTTAACCTTCTCCAACGCGGTGCCCTCCGTTCGGGCAGACTGACATTTCCCCACCATGACCCCAAAAGGAAAAATTTACCATCGCCTTCTTCCTCATCCTCCTCCTCGTCGCCGACCTCTTCCTCTTCGTCGTCTACCTCGTTGTCCGCCTCCTGTTCCCCGTTTTCCTCGTTCTCCTTTGCGGAAATGAAGCACACTTAAAAAAAAAAAATGGGGAGCCTATCAAACACCTCCCCCCCCATTCATTTCACCAAACTGGCCCTTACAGATCTACGGCCTGTAACAAAGCCATCTCTGTTGGAAGTCCTACAGCTGTGACAAAAGAGCTGTCGTTTACAGGGCAGTTTGCGGAAACTAAAAAGGGGAGGGGGCAATGCTGGCTCAGGAATTCTGGGAGTTGAAGTCCACAAGTCATAAAAGGGCCAGGGTCCCCCCCCCACACCCCTGCTCTGCACACCCTGAGCTGGCTGGGGAATTCTGGGAGTTGAAGCCCACCCCTCTTCAAGTGATTAAGGTTAAGAAACACTGCTTGACGCTCCCCTGTATGAATAGAATACTTGAAATATGGACTGGTGTCCCTTCCTTACATGAGAAGAACTAATGTCCTGGGTTCACACACCACTCTAAACCAGAGTTCAGAATCACGGAGTGGGAAGGGACCGTGGAGGTCTTCTAGTCCACCCCTTGCTCAAGCAGGAAATTCTATAGTGCCATTCCAGACAAGTGGCTGTCCAGTCTCTTCTTAAAAGCTTTAGTGTTGGAGCCTTGACAACTTCTAGAGGCAGGTTGTTCCACTGGTTAATTGTCCTCACTGTCAGGAAACTCCAATTTATCTAGGTTGCTTCTCTCCTTGGTTAGTTTCCATCTGTTGTTTCTTGTCCTGCCTTCAGGTGCTTTGGAGAATAGCTTGACTCCCTCTTCTTTGGGGCAGCCCCTCAAATACTGGAAGACTGCTAATCATGTCACCCCTCGTCCGTCTCTTCACTAGACTAGAATTAACCAAGCAGAATTGCCATAGTTTGCAGAACCTGCTAATTAAGATTAAACTCCAATGGCTTAAGCTTCTACAGGGGCTGGCTGCCAGCCTGAACTGTCCAGCTTATCTCTAACCACATCTGAGGATGGTTGTGGGAATGTGGACGGAGTGATCCCTCGCAGCAGGACCAGGAAGTTAAAAAAATGAGCCAATGCAAAGTTTCTCCTATTTAGGAAACTTCAATGGGGGGGTGGTCACCGGCTCTTCCTACCCCCCAACCCCCCCAATTTCATCCCAGCTGAGATACTTACAGCATTGCCGTTGGCCGGGGCATCCCTCCCGTTTTCTGTTTCTTCCACAACTTCCTTCTTTTCTTTCAAATCCTGAAAAGGGGCAAAAAGGAAAAGAAAGCACCATGAGTCACCGGGATTCCAGCCTCCCCCAACAGGATTGGTGCAAATCCCTAGGCAGGAGAATGCCCGACATCCTTTTCCCTCCCGAAAGTTGGGGGGGGGGCGCGCGAAAAAAGTAAACACAACACGGTCATCAACACAACTACTATGTAGGAGTTGTAAGGCTTTCTTTGCAGGCCCTCAAATCACAGCAAGAGGGGACTGACCAGACTCAAAACCCTTCCAAGGCGAAGGGAGTTTGTGATGCGTTTTTATTCATTTTATTTTATTTATTTTTTTAAAGGGCTTTCCTCTCTCTCATCTGCTCCCTTCCCCTACAAATGAGGGTGCAATTCCTGTGGCAAGGCAGTGTGACCTGCCAGTGAACAACTGTCCACCACCACCACACCAAAACCCTTGCATTGTTGTGTCTTGGCGTGTTCCAGAACTGGAAGGGCGAAGAGGGAGCCCTCGTATAAACACAATTCTGCAGAAACACTTGCCTGTAGGGGGAAAAACAACAAGGTGCCAGGGGCGGACTTAACAAACGGGCTATCTATCTTTTTCATTCTCCACGGAGCGTTAACAGGCAAATAAAGAATAATCTTCCCGCAGATTATTAGACAAGCGTTGGTTCGCACGACTCAAGAGCGAGCGGTTTTCTTAAACCTCTCCGGGTCAGCCCATGTTTGCCCCCCAAAACAGCCCACGGTCTTAGCCTCCACGTGCCTCAAAACTGCGGCCAAAGTGAGAATTTAAAAAGGAATTTCCTTTTTAAAAACTGAACTGCCAGCCCCATCTACTCTTTTAAAGAGTACAGGTAGTTCTGGACTTAGAAAACAGGCACTGAAAAAAGTGATCGATGACCGGTTTTTCGCTCTTATTTTCTTTGTAGCAGCCCCGTCATCCAAATTCAGGTGCTTGGCAACTGGTTCATACTTATGACCGTTTTTTTGCTGTGCCAAGGTCACGTGACCCCTTTTTGATAAGCAAAATCGGAGGGGAGCCCAGATTCATTTAACAACCACGGCACCCACTTATCAAGTGCACAACTGCGGCCAGATATGTTGTAAAATGGGGCAAAACTGCACTTCGCCAACGCGTCTCACTTAACGAAATTTGGGGGCTCAATTGTGGCCATTAAGCCGAGGGACTACTTGTAGTTTCTACCTTTCCTGCCCTTACAGTTGTTGCAAAAGCTGGCTTGATCTGTGGCAATCTGTCTGGTCATTCTAATTTCCAGATCCAGATCTTCTAAAAGGCAAACTCTTTGCTCTGCGGTAGGAAAGCAGCAGCCAAATTCATGGAAAAAAAGCATCCAGTTCCCTAAATTTGAACTTTTTACAAAGGCCAGGAAAAGCCGCTGCCTCCAATGCCATTTCAAGAACACAAGCACTATTTTTTCCCCTTTTTCCCTAGACAGAGTCTCCTAGAAAAATCACCCACCGCAGCCTCCAGCTTACAAGCAACAACACGTTTGAAGTCCAATGTTTACGTCTTTGACAGATCCCGATAAGGCTCCCTTATAATTATAAGCCCGGCAAAAGCTGTTTACTGCTTCAAGGCCAGCCACAACACAGGGCGAGGGCTGATCCTAAAAGTTGCCATCTAGGCAAGGCATTATTAGCAAAAGCACACAAAAACAAAAAGCCAAGGTCCGGCATTGTGTATCTTACAGAGACACATGTTTTATTAATGGCCCCATCAATACAGAAGAATGCCATTTGCTAACAGGGAGAATATGGGCAATAAAACAGAAGCCATAATAAGCCAAACAGACACACACAAACACACACACAACTCCACTACCACTGCAGCTTTTAACCAAAAACCACACTGCTGCCAAATGCACTGATGCACCCTTGATTAATTCCAAGCTTTCTTAAGTGCTTCTCTCCCTAATTCTTAAATCAGGCAGAGTGTGTGTGTGCTTTCTTTTTTTTTTTTTTTGGCTTTTCAAAGGCCCATTAAAAAAAAAAGAAGAAAAACAAACTGGCAGTAACGACATCCTCCTTCCTGCAGGGGGCGCAAGAGCTGCAACCACCACCCCCCTCTTCCCCGCGGCCGGCGGCGGCAATCAAGGCCATGCGCTCTGGGCCAATTCAAACCTGCGCGCCACAGTTGGCGCCACTTCGATTGGCCGGCCGGCCCCGACCTCCCAAAGTACGCCGGGGCGCGTAGTCCTTCCCGAGCGGGAGAGCGCAGTCGAGGCAATAGGCAGCGGCCGGGGGAGCGGACTACGACTCCCAAGAGGCGCCGCGCGGGCGGGGACCGGGGAAGGCGAAAAGCGAGAGAAAGCGGCACGTGGTGGCGGTGGGGCGGCTTTGGCTTGCCGCTCGCTCGCTGTTTACTGCGGCCGCAGACAGCCGGGGGCGGCGCTGGAGAGAAGGGCCGCCGCCCGCCTGGGAAATCAATCTCAAGCTTTCTTCTGCCCCCCCCCCCAACTCCGCGTTTTAATGCCCAGATGCCGGGAGCGGGGAAAAAGCAGCGCAAGGCTTTTCTCCCCAGGACTGGATATAGGGTGTTGTGTTTGTGTGTGTGTGTGTGGGGGTGAATACCCCCCTCCCCTGCGAGGGCTTCCCCAGGGGGAGCCCCGCGATCCCCGGGGCTGCCCTCCCCAGCGCAATCCCCGCGAGAGCCACCTTCCAGCCGCTTTTCCAGCCCCGCAGGTTGCAACCTGCCCCCAAAGGTGACCCTTTGCAGGAAACAAAGCCCCCCGCCGCCCCGTCTAGGGTCCGGGGCGGGATCTTTTTGATAACCCGCCTCCCCCCCCCCACCCGGTCCAGGTCGATCCCCGCGTGGGAGAACGCGGGGCTGGGCCGATCGGCATCGGGGAGGGGGCTCCCGGCCGCCCCTTCCCACCAGGAATGAGGCCGGAATTGCGTTCCCCCCCCGTCGCCCTTTTCTCCGGCATCCCCGAGACTGGAGACCCGGCGATTCCCTTCCCTCCCCCCCCGCCCGGGCACCCAACGGCGATTACATTGTATCCACCGCCCGCGAGGAAGGGAAAGGGCCCGACGGGCGGGGGGCCGAAGCTAGCCTTCCTTCCCCCCCCACTGTCTGCCTTTCGGGGAGGGGGCGCCCCGAAAAACGCCGCGCAGCATCGCCAGCCCGTCCGTCCTTCCCTCCTCCTCCCTCCCTTCCATCCATAGGGACGCGCGAGTTCCGCCGGGCGGGTAGCTTCAATCCGCCTTCCGACGTCTCCTCTTGCCCTCTTCTCCTCTCTCTCCACCGCCCCCCCCCGTCGGAGCGGCTTGCCTCTTCAAGGGGGGGAGGGGAAGCAAGCGGGGTTAGGGCCATCCGGAGTTCAAAGGGGGGCGCCCCAACTTTCGGGAAGGGGAAAGATTCCCACCCCCGGAGGTCTCTAAACATTCGCCCCCCCCCCCCGTTTCTCCCTTCGCCTGTCGATTCCCATTCAGCCCTCGGGGTTTTGCCGGTAGAGGACGGAGGGGGCGACGGGGCGAGCCGAGCGATCGGGCCGGGAAGCCGCCGACGGGACGCGCTCCGCCTGCTGGAAACAAAGAAACGCGCTGCCGGACGGCAGCAAGCCGGGGCTGCCGGATCCGACGCCCGGGGCAGAGCCCGGCTGCCTTCCAAGGGCTCGTTCTCTCTCTCTCTCTCGCCCCCCGTCCCCCCGTGCCAAACCGCTTCCGATTTTCTCTCTCCAGGCAAGAGGTGGAGGGGGGGTCCGCGAAGTTGTTTCCGCGCAATTAGCCCGAGCCAATTAGTGCTAACGAGGGGGCGCGCGCAAGACGCGCACAACTTGCCCTCCCCCCCCCCCGCTCGCCGAAGAGGGCAAGCGGGAAGGGAAAGCCGAGCCGCGCTCCGGGATCAGGTGCGGAGTCGAACGGCCGGGAATAAGGAAGGCATCTCGCCAAGCCGGCGCCTGCAATCGCGCCCGCCCGCCCGCCGGTCGGACGCTCGCTCGCTCGCTCGCTCGGCCTTTGCGCCCGGCCAACTTTCGGCTTTTTCTTCCCGCGGGGCACAAAAGGGGTCCTGGAAGTTCGCCGCCCCGTCTGTCAAAAAGCCCCGCGCCGTCTTTCCACGGGCAGCGCTTACCCACCCACCCACCAAGCGCCCACTCAAGCCTGGCAAAACCGGAGGGGGGAAAAAGCCCGCGACGGCCCGCGAAACGACCTGCCTTGCCCGCCTCTCCCGAGGCGTTCCGGGCGCCCCCACGGGGGCCGAACTCCCCCCCCCCGCGACCCACGCAAGGATGCCAGGCCGGCGGGATAAGAAAGCCGGGCAAGCGGCGCAAGAGCCGAGCCGGATCGCAAACAAAGGAAGGAGGAAGCCCGAAGCGGAGGAGACACGAGTGCACGCCGCGCGTTGCGGGAGAAGCGAAAGCGCAAGGAGCGCATTCACCCGCGCGCATCTACAAGCCTACAGGGATTTCCACCGGGGTGCAAAAAGGGTGCAAGAAGAAAAACAACAACCACCACCAGCCGATCCGGACGTTCCGCCCAGGCTTACCTTGGTGGAGATCTCGGAGCTGGTATCCACGGCTGTGTCTGACATGGCTGGAGTTGTGCGGAGGAAAAAGCCCGCGACTTGTACAAAAGGGAGCCCCGAAGACGGGAAGAGATCCGAGGGCGCGTACGCGGCGTGGGCTGGAGAGGGGGGGGGAGGTTGTTGCAAAACGCGGAGGGAGGGGGAAGCGGAGGCAGAGGAGACGGCGACGGAGGAGGAAGAGGAGGAGGAAGATGAAGAAGCGAAGCCCCGCGACGATAAACGCGCAAGCCCGACAGCCGGCTCAGGAACAATGCAAAGATGGCTTTGGATGCCAGTGGAGGGTTCACGCGGTGCCGCCGCCTTTAATATAGACCGGTGGGCGGCGCCAGCACTCCCCTCGCCGGCCCCGATTGGGCGGCCCGGGAGAAGCCGCCGGCGCCCATTGGCCGAGCGGCCGAACAATGGGCAAGGCTGCTGACGAGCCGTCGGGGGGCCGCGGCGCCCTCCTTCCCCCGGGCGGCGCGCTCGGCAGGCGGGCCGCGCAAAGAGGGGAGGCGCGGAGGCGGCTTTTGCAAAACACCCGCGCGCAGGAGGGAGGCGCTGCAAAGGCCGCGCAGTCGGAGGGAGGGAGGGGGGGAGTTGCACTCACCCCACCCCCACCCCGCTCTCGTTGCATG